GTACCAAATTGTCTTGATTACTGTGGCTTTGTACTGGATCTTGACATTGGGGAGCATAATCCTCCCAGCTTTATTCTTCCTTCTCAGGATTGCTTTGGCTATTCGGGTTCTTTTGTGGTTCCATATGAATTTTAGAACTATTTGCCCTATTTTGTTGAAGAATGCTGTTGGTATTTTGATAGGAATTGCATTGAAGCTCTAGACTGCTTATGCAGGATGACTGTTTGACAATATTAATTCTTTCTATCCATGAGCATGGGATGTGTTTCCATTTATTGGTGTATTTAATTTCTCTCATGAATTTCCTGTAGTTTTCAGAGTATAGGTCTTTCACTTCCTTGGTTAGATTTATTCCTAGGTATTTTATTCTTTTTGATGCAACTGTGGATGGAATTGGTTTCCTGATTTCTCTCTCTGCTAGTTCATTGTTAATGTATAGGAATGCCACAGATTTCTGTGTTTTAATTTTGTATACTGCAACTTTGCTGAATTAAGATATTATATCTAGTAGTTTTGGAGTGGATTCTTTTGGGTTTTTTATGTACAATATCATGTCATCTGCAAACAGGGACAATTTAACTTCTTCCTTGCCAATCTGGATGCCTTTTATTTCTTTGTGTTGTATGACCTGTACTTTCTAATGTGCTCTTTTTTTTGTCTCGCTTCTTTCACTCAGCTTAATTACTTAGGTGCATCCAAGTTGTTGTGTATGTCAGTATTCAACTGATTGCTGAGTTCTATGCCTGCTTATGGCTACATCACAATTTGCTTATTCTTTTGATGGGCATTTGCATTGTTTCTAGTTTTTTGATGATTACAAAAAAAGCTGCTGTGAACATCTGTGTACAAGTCTTTACATGGATACTGTACTAAGTATTACACTTTACTAAGAGTGAATTGGGTGGGTCACATTGCAGGTGTGTTTAACTTTTAAAGAAATTTCTGGAGTATTTTCCAAAGCATTTAAATTGGTTTCCATTCCCATCAGCAGTGTAGGAGAGTTCCAGTTGTCCCGCATATTTTCCAGTATCTGCTATAATCAGTCTTTTTAAGTTGTAGCCATTCTAGTAGATATATGGTGGTATTTGGTTGTGATTTTAATTTGCACTCCCCTACTGACTGTTACCAGGCATCTTTTTACATGCTTATTTGACATCCATGTATCTTCTTTTGTGAAATGAATGTTTATATCTTTTGCCCATTTTGAATTGCATTGTCTTATTAGTGAGCTGTAAGAGTTCTTTATATACTGTAGATACAAGTCTTTTGCCAAATATATGATTTGCAATGATTTTCTCCCTGACCGTGGTTTGTCTTCTCATTTTCTTTGAAGAGCAAAAGTTTTAAATTTTGATGAAGTCCAGTTTATTGATCTTTTCCTTTGTGGCAGGTTTTTTTGTGTCCTATCTAAGAAGCTTTTGCCATTTGAGCCATTAGGGAAACTTTTTTTCACATTTTGAGTAATATCTCCTAAAGTTTGAATCTTTAGAATGTGCTTCTTAGTCAAGGAAACACTTAAAGAACAGCTCCCTCACCTGGTGAGAGTGCTCTTGTAAAAACATTTGAATGTAAAATAATTAAAAATTATGAAAGGGTCAAAAATAACCCAATCTTTTTCTTTTGGCAAATAGTTTCAGAATTGCAAAATATCTTACTATTGGAAACGCAGAAGAAATAACTTGAAAATGTGAGACATGAAAATCTAATAGTGCTAATCTCATTCTGTCAGATGCCTGAGTGCTTGCTTCTACTCCATCCCACCTTGAGAATACTTTTTTATCATTCTATGTAAAAGCACTTTGATAAATTAAAAAGTTACATACCTCTTCCCTCCACCTTCTCAAAAAAGGCTTAGAGCAGAAGCTCTAAGGGTTTGAATTTTAGTTCCGTCATGTGCTACTTGGTGACCTTTTAACTCTGCTTCAGTTTCCTCATTATTAAATAATAGCTCCTACTTCATAGGGTTATGAAAAGGATTAAATGATAGTACTTAATATTACATGTTATTATCCAAGTACTTTTTAGAACGTTTGATCCTTTGAGAAAATGTAAAACTTCGATAAGTAATTGTCTGTGGATCCATGTGAATATAACTACCACAGTTGTAAGGCACTGATGTATTATTGTCAAAAGCTAATTGTCTTTTTTTTTCTTTCATATGTGAGGAATACTAGAAATATATTTTCCTTAGCAGTTTCACCAGAGATACAAATATAGCTTTCCCATAGGCCATGTCATTTAAACTCTTCTAAAGCAGTTTAATGTTCTAAAAAGTGAATAGTATTAAAGAAAAAAGCAGACTATTAAAGACCAAAGATTGAGTTGGGGTATCAAGGTTTTTCTGGCAAGCAGAGAATCCAGTACAGAGATGACATTTGAAAGAGAAATGGAGTATATTTCTTAAAACCCAAAGACCATGAACTATGTCTGGCCCACATCTAAAAAGCAAAGTTCCTAAGTGTTGTTGATTGGTTGGTGTTTTTGGTTTTATCACTTGAGTAGGTGCTATGCATGCTGGTGGCAGTGGTCTGCTGTGTACTTGAGAACTCTGTCTCAAGACTATAGCACCTACTTGCCTCGGCCTCCTACATGAACTGCCCCAGTTGGGATATCAGCCAGTCTGGTTGGCAGCAGCATAAGCAATCCAGGTGGTCAGGCCAGAAATTATGAATTATTATCTAGCTCAGCTACAAATAATAGAAAAAACTAAAATAATGATAAACAAGATAGAAAGTTTGTCTCACATACAAGAAGTCTGGAAGTAGTATGTCCACAGTTGGTATGGTGCTGCATGGTGTTAGGAATCCAGTCTCCTATCTTCTTGCTTTACCATGCAAGTATTCCATTCCATTCTCAAGTTCACCTCATTGTCCAAGATGACTTGGAGAACTACAACTACATTCTGGCCAGCAGGAATGAGGAAAGAGTAGCACATTCTAAGAACATTTCCTAGATATTGGAATGGTTACATCCCAATATCCAGAATGTAATCACACAGCTGCAAAGGAGGCTGGGAATATACTCTATTCTTGGTGGTCATGGCCCAGTAAATGTATTGCAAACAGTACTCATCCTCGTGGTTTGTCAAATTTTGATGGTATGTTTGCTACAGATAACTTGTATTTTGAATAGTTAATACATTTATACGTTCATAAAAGTGTAGTTAAGTCCCAATCCAGCCCTGTCACATATGCTCAGTTCCCATCCCTGCAGGTATTGGTTATATATTTACTTTGCCTATACAAGCAAATACAACTATATTTGGATGCACTTTACAAAAAAAAAATTAAAGGTAACAACTTTTTCATGTTCTTCTTTCTATCTACACTCCTAACACCTAACTCCGTACCACCTCTTTTCTCAGCTCATTATTCAATAAACAGTGAAAGTTAAATGTTAAAGGAATTGTTATTAATTCTGCCAGTATCTCATTCACCTGTTTTCCTCTATTTTTTCCACTCCATGCACATCCAGTTTTCTAAAAAACTTACACCTATTTCTAAAGTCTAAAGTGTCTAGAATTTAACAAACATGAACTTCATGCAACTTATGCAACTTGTTAGCTTAACGCCTCTGAGGAATTCAGGAGGGCGGAAGTGGTGAGGCGGGGAGCCACGGGATAGGCGGGACCCGGAAATGGCCAGGACGGACGTTGGGGGGCGGGACCTTGGGGAGATGGATCCAGCCGGCTCCGCCCGGGTCGTGCGTAAATTTGGCGCCAAATGCCGTGAGTACTTCCTGTGGCGGGAGCTCCAGAATCTCGCGAGGAATACGATTTGCCCGCCTCGCCAATCCCTTCGGTGGTGCGGCTGCTGTGTACCTGAGGTGAGAGCGAGCGGGCGGGCGAGCGGGCGAGCGGGCGAGCGGGCGGGCGAGGGGAGTTTTTGAGGGGAAAGACGGCTGAGGGAATCAGAAGTGGGTGCGGGGCGGGCGTCAGGGAACGGGCGGGAGGCTGGAGGGCGTGACTGAGACGGACTTGGGCCGAGCCGACTGGAGCGGAGAGGAGGCCTGAACGCCCGCCACCTGTGGGGAGAGGAGGTCGGTGGGGAAGACGGGGGCCCGTTTCCCCGTTTGTTTCGCGTCTTCCTCACACCAAACCGAGGCTTTGTGCGGGAGGCAGGGTGTATCAGATGCATCTTTACGCCGCCAGCATCTGTATGGGATTTTCTAAACGTAGAAGGCGTCCTGTGGTTGTGGAATGACCGACGTTGGGGAGACAATAGGCGGGAGTGAGGATGAGAAGGTTGGAGAAGAGGGACGGGGTCGGGAGTTAGTGTTTACAGAGGTGGTGAGCAAAGGGGGGCGTCGAGTCAGCCTGGTAGGACTTCCCTTTTGACCGGGGTTCTGTCTTGGTAACTTGGAAAAAGATGGACATGGGACACCTAAAGGTCTAGGGACAAACTAGTTTGGATGTTAAATTTCGTTGTCCCCTTCACTTCACTGGGAATTTGAAGACTAAAGGAAGAATTTAAGGGAATTTCATCAGCGTTTAGAAAGACAGTATGCAACCATCGTCAAGAAATGAAAGAGTTACCTTATTTACTACCAGCTTACTGACAAGCCCCAGCGTGCTTCGCCGATTCCTTACGTTGCATCTTGCTACACTCAAAATAGTTTGTGCCCTGTCATCAAACTCAGAGCTTGCAGTTGGCCTCAAGGGTGTGTGAATCCTGTTTCTCCCAGAGGGTTTACTGCAGTGGGGCTAAATACGCTTACCTTAGATAGGAGGCCACGTTAGATGACACGACCTCTAACTGTCCAATTTTGAAGATCTTTGTCTTTGAACCTTACTTAAGGATACAGTACGTCATCTTCGGGAGTGAGTACATTGTTTCGTTTTATGTGCTTGTCGTTGAAATATAGAATTTGAGAGACTTTAGAGATCATCTAGCTCCAGTAGTATTACAGTTTTGGGGAAGCTTTGGCATTCTTCGTTCCTTCAAGTATTTATTGAGCATCTGCTGTGTGCTGGCTTTGGGGGTAAGTGGTGGAGGACAAAGCTACAGTCCAATATGGGAGACAAACATTAATAATGCTTAAACAGTCACAAATAGAACCAAATATTGGAACTGGGTAAGTTCTATGAAACTCATACTTGACACTTTGAATGTTTATTATAGGAGGATTTCATTTAGGGAACTAGGGGTAACCTTTTTGAGGAGGTGACAGTTTAAATCTGGAAGAGATTAGCAGTTTGGGGAAGACTTCAAAATAGGAAACAGACTTTGCCAAAGGTCTAGTGGCCTGAGGGATAAGGTGCTTTTAAGGAACTGAAAGAAAATATGGCGAGTGGTATGAAGGGAGGCTGGAGAAGTAGGAAGGCGCCATACCATGTAGGTCCTTGGAGTTTTATCATCTTAAGGGCATTAGAAGACAGTGAAATATTTAAGCCAAGTGGTAATTTGATTGGCTTTACACTTCTAAAAGTGTATGGAGAATGGAAGTCAAGTGGAAAGGATATGTACGGTGGGGAAAGGAGGTGTCAGGGATGACCTGTACATTTCTAACTTGAATAGCTGGATAGATGTCATTCACTGAATTGGGAAAATTTAGAAGTTCAGTTTTGTACATAATGAGTTATATATAGGTGGTGCCTTTGAAAAATTAAAGAACTGTAAAATGAGTAGGGATCTGGTGCTCAGATTTGATGCCTGGGCTGGAGACTAAATTAGTCATTTATAAATGATTATTAAAGCCATGTTCATATGTGAGTGAGGAGAGCCTAGGATAGAGTCTATGTACTGATGAAGTTAGAGGAAGATAAATCTGCAAAGAACCAGAAGGAATGCCCAGAAAGAGAGGAAAATCAGGTGAGTACTATGTTGGAGATTCAGTGAAAACACTCCCAGAAAAAGGCATTGACAAAAAATGTCAAACGTTGCCGAGAGATCAAGTAAGATGGTACTGAAAAGCATTCTTTCAGGTTACCAACCTGAAGATTATTTTCCTTTCTTCAAAAGAAACCTACCTAGAAGACCAACATGTAAACTTTTTTTTCTTAAAGCTACTCTGGTTGAAGTGGGGTAAGGTACATACACCCTGCCTATTACATACCCATTTGGATGACAGTTTAAAATCCTCTGAAAAGTCAAGTCATCATTTTATGATAGGGGAAACTCAACAGTTGAGGTAAAATGATTTGCTCAATATCATGAAGTTATGTAGTGATAGAGTGTATAACAGCTCCGCTGGGATTTCTAGCCCAGTTCTTCCATGACTTGTTATCTTCATTTTTCATGATGTGTGAGTTTGAAATATGGTTTGATTAACTGAAATACGTGGGTTTTACAGCAGGTGGAACTTAACTGCTTAATAGCAAGACTACTTGGAAGAATAAACATGTTTACTTTTTTTCTGCCTAGAGGAAAAGATGCTGGAACCCCAGGAGAGTGGCTTGGTTGACCTGCCACCTTATGAGCATATAGAAGATGAAATTTTTCCTCCTTTCCCACCTCCAGCTACTCCAGGGATAGAAGATGGTGAAGGAGCTGAACCTTATGGTCTGTACAGAGTTCCAAAAAAGTGTCCACATTCAGTTATCCATCTGTCAGCTTAAAAATGATATATTCTATAGATGAGGCTTAAATTATTTAAGTAATCTTAAGTCTTGGTATATTTCACCAGAGTCAGGGAGAGAAGCACCTGTTCCTGTACCTCCAAAGAGAACAGTTAAAAGGAATATACCCAAGCTGGATGCTCAGAGGTACATTTACTATTTATTACTTTTTCTTTAGATCATTTTTTCTTATGTTATAAGCTTTTGGTTGGGATGATTTGGAGATCAGATACTTCTAAACACTTTTTTTTTTTTCAGTTCAGGTAAAACTTTTTCTTATGTTCTTGGTTTGACCTTGATAGCTCTGGATAACTTGAAATTCAAAACATATTTCTATTCACAGATTAATTTCAGAAAGAGGGCTTCCAGCATTAAGGCATGTGTTTGATAACGTTAAATTCAAAGGTAAAGGTCATGAGGTAAGAAATGTCTGGTTTTTATTTTAGACCATTGTCTTTTAAAATATCAAAACTGTCGGCCCATTATCATGTTCTTAGGAATCTTAGAATTTTTCACAGATACTATCATTCATCATCATGTCTCTTAAGAAACAGTGATATAGCAGAAAGGGCACTGTTCGAAGAATCAGAAAGCATGTCTTGTAATCTCATTTTTGCCTGTGTGGCTGTATGAAAATCACATCTGAGTTTATAAACCTAAATTGGTACTTTATAGTTTTGAGGAATAAAATTGACTTTGTCCTCCTCAAAGAGTGATTTTTAAGCTTTGTGACAGCAATGATACTTTGCCTGTACTGATCACTTAATGTGTCTCCAAGATATGGCACAGTGCCTGGTTCATAATATTCAAGTTAAGTTTTGTTGAAAAATGAAAATATATAAGAATTGTCAATCACTATACAAATATAAATTTTTTAAGTCTCTTTTTAAATTGTTACTTCTATTATTTTGAAATTGCATAGAGACAGTTTTTTGCAGATGTTATCTTTGTAGAACTTAGCAGCTTATGAAGCTTTCAAATGTATCATTAACTCTCAACCTGTGGTATGCAGGATGATTGAAAGAGAGAAGAGGCTGTTGCATTACTAGGGAAACAGGATGAAAATAGCTTAGATAGGGTAGTAGCAGAGAGTTGAACATGTAATACTTGTAGGTGACTGGATATAGAGAGCTAAAAAAGGAGTAAAAGATAATCCCAGTATTTCAAACCTAGAGGACTGAAAAATTGTAGTACTTTTGCTCAGTTTCAGTGGACAGGAAAAGAGAATATAAGCCTGTGATCTATTTTGCCACAAAACGAAACATAAATTAGAATATTTTAAAACCATACCCACTCAGTTCATTTCCCTTGTGAAATTTTCAAGGAGTAATGATGAATTGGTGCTTTGAATTTATGAAGTCTTCATCTTTTTCATAGTAAGTCTTTCACTGAAATAAATATTTTGTGTTTCTTCACTGGGTGAGGGTGGGCTCTGAAGGAGTTTACTTTGATCTTCTGTGCTTCTGGTCTTGGAATTCTTACTATTTTCTCACACAGTTGAATCCTTACTGCTTTTTTCTCCATGTATGACTTAGGACTTCCCACTGTACTTAGGTATTTCTTTTCTTGTGTCCTTTGAGTCTAGTATGTCATTGTGAGGTGACTGGACCAGCTACCCCCAACAACTGGAAAATGTTTTTAGGTGATTTAATTTTTAATTTTTAAAATAGCTTTCATTTTCATTATCAGAATGAGAATGATAAGACATTGTGCCCCCAGTATTATATATTTAATTATTGGTAGAGTTAATTATCTTGACCGTTGGCTTGGACAAGATCAAATGACAACAGTAACTCAACATTTGAGTCCTTACTTTGTGTTAGGCACTTTACTTATATTGCTTAATCTCCATAATGACTCTGAGGTATGTATATTATTCTCATTTTATACTTGAAGTAAAAGGCACAGAGCAATAAAGTGATTTGTTGAGTCACACAGCTATTAAGTGGTAGAATTGAGATTTGAATCTATGCAGTTTCATCCAGGGCCTGTGCCTTTAACCACCCTCCTATGTTAAAATCTGTTAAGAATAAAATATTTTACAGTAAAACCAGGAATTAGGAACTTTTCTCATTTATGGTCTAGTTAGGTAAACTTTGATTTTCCATTTTAATAAAAAAAATTAATGTTAAGTTGAAATTTCAAATTAGAGAGGTATTGTCGTCTGAGAATGTTTATTCTTGCTAGTCTTTGTGACTTTGCCCTTCAGATTTCTGAATGTATTTTCAGCATTGGATTCTTAATGCTTTCTTCTCTTTATGTGATTTAGGGACCTGTCACTTTGTTTAGTTATTCCTAAAAGATACCTTGACATATTTTGTTAAAGCTTATTTTCAAGTATTACACTTCTGAAAAGGCACATGTGATTATCTTTTTAATTTTTTATCAAGTTTTTATACTGGGTATTTTTTCCCCTCTAATTAAAAAAATCTGTATCCAGTATATTTTTAGACTGCAGTCCTCTACGCCTTTAAATATTTTTCTTCAAAGTTTCTTCAGAAATTTCTTACCTTATAAATGACACCAGTGACTTTGGTATTACTATTTAAAATCTGCTGACAAGGTCAGTTGTGAGAATGAGTCTCCTATTTAGCATTTTTATTTTTATGTGCCAGGCTGAGGACCTAAAGATGCTAATCAGACACATGGAGCACTGGGCACATAGGCTATTCCCTAAACTGCAATTTGAGGATTTTATTGACAGAGTTGAATACCTGGGAAATAAAAAGGAAGTTCAGGTAAGTGTTGAAACTATGAATATCATTCACAATGCTGAGTAGTACAAGGACAGATTTAGTTGAGCTCAGTAGCTGTTCTGGGGGGAGTCTTCATTTCGAAATCTGTCATAGTAGAGAAAAGGAAAATTAATAATTGCTGTTTGAAGAAAAACTCTTTTGAAACCAAGCATTGAATAAATGACCATTTTCTCCTAAATGTTATTGGTAAAATTGTAAAAATATCTCTTCATTTTCAGACCTGTTTAAAACGAATTCGACTTGATCTCCCTATTTTACATGAAGATTTTATTAGCAATAATGGTAAGACTGAATTCATCTATTTTATAATTTTGCTTTCAGAAGTGGATCTGGTTGGGATAGGAAGTAGTACAGGACTGGGTTCTTAGTCTATATTGAGTATATAAGTAAAGTACAGTAAATAGGAATGAGTTAAAATGCCTTGGTATATCTGGAATGTTCTGTATGTCATTTGATTCTTAAAGACATGGCTGCAGTGCCACCAAGAGATGTAAAAATATATTTAGCCACAGAACATGAGCTTTTGAGAATTCTGGTGGTAACTCATTGATCATCTATAGTGCAGAAAATTTGATAGAAATATTTCCATTTCAAGAAACACTTCACTCAAGAGTATAGATCCTGTATATAAGACTTTAGTTAAGACCTACGTGACTGTTCTTGGTATAGATTGCATTTGTTAGTTGTACAATGCAGTCATAGGCAGTCACATACATAAAATATGGTTCCTGCCGACAGGGTCTGTATAGTTATCAGATTTTCTGTGCGATGGCTCCATACATGTTTGTTTCTGGTTTTTTGTTTTCCAGACTTTTAATAGGTGTGGTAGAAAATCCAGGCTCCATGTAAAATTCCCTTATTATAAATTGCTTTTAAAAGTGTGAAGGATTGTGATTTAAATAATCCAAGATTTAATTTTTTGGTAAGAAACAGTGTGTACCGATGGCATTGGAATTTAGTATATGGAATTAGTTATTAGAGTACTAATTCCCACAAACTATATCCCTGGGTTAGTTTATTCAGCAGCACTTTTTTAGCAGTGTACTATGTGCTAAAGATTCAGGGATAAAGATGAATAAGGTCAGTCCCCTTGCTTCACAGGCTAACAGACTAGTGAATGAGTCAAACATATAACCTTGCCAGTAGCTGATAGGTGCAATTATCAGAGATATGAACAAGGCTCAGGGTAGAGTGCAAAGGAAAGCATAGTTGCTTTTACCTAGGGGAGGGGAACGCTTCACAGAAGACATGTTATGAGTACTTTGAAAGAACATTCTTCAAAACTTTTGGATCAGGTACCACAACAGTAAAAATGTTTTGAGCATTTTATTATTTTCTAATGTATGTACTTAAACTGATAAATATACATTTTTTTCCTCACCAAAACATTACTGTATACAGTTTTAAAGCGAGGACAATATGATTGAATAGTCCACTGAATTTTTTTTAAATCTTGGGCTAATACTTTTTTTGTCAGTGATTTACAGGGCTGATCGTAGATTAAGGTTTTTCTCTTCCAGTCACGGTTTTACCTTTATGAGATACCAAGTCCAAATGGAAGTAGAGCATCATTAACTGCACTTTTAATAAATCTTGATTTTCATCACTTTAATAAATCTTGATTTTCATTTTTCAGTCCCATTCCCTGATGCAGGGTTTTTGTTTACTAGCAAATTTTCATCTACTTTTTCTCAATCAAATGTTTTTCTTAAAATGTAATCAGGGGTTATATTTTTATATTTTTAGCAAATGTGTAGTTACATCACTCTTCTGTTCAAAGCTCTGTAGTGGCTCCTTATTTCACTCAAAAGCTAAAATCCTTATAATGCCCTACCTGGCCCTACAGAATGTGTTTCTGTCTTCACCCGATCCACCTTGCCTCTTTGGCTGTATCTTTTACTATTCCCCACTTACACTGCTTCAGCCACACTTGCTTCCTTGCTGTTCCTTGAACCTTCCGTATTTCTGTCTTAAGGCTTTTGCACTCTTACACTCCACCTTGAACACATCCTCGTCTTCCCTGCAACCCCCAAATCTGCATGGCTAATTTCTTAACCCTCTTCAAACTGCTCAAAAGTCGACTCAGTGAACTCTGACCACAGTTAGAATTGTACCCCCACCTGCATTCCTGATTCCTCCATGCTTTTTTTATAGCACTTCTCATTATTATAGCATTTCTTGTCTAGTAGTTAATGTCATTTAGATGTCAAAATCATAGCATCGTGTAACACATTGAATATTTCTAGCTTTAGCTTTTTTGCCACAATAGCTTCCCTATGAATGTTGCAGTGAATGAATTTCATGTGGCATTCTAATTTTTTTTAATCCCATTTTTATCCTCATTAAAGCTCCATCAGTAGTTTCGTTCACATTGTTTCTTTATAAAACATTGTATTAAAGAAGTAATTTACTATCGAACAGGTCTTTCATGACTTGCAAAAAAGTGGCTCTTTATTTCATTACTACTAATTCAAATCCTGTAAGCCCTGGAAGATGAAGCATATCAGAAACCCTAGATATTGCATAATTGTTTCTAATACTTGTTTCCTACATGTACTCTATTAATATTTCTTGACAAAGGAATGTATTATAGTTTCTTGCCACATTTCTTTCCATGTCAGGAAGGAAAAGTGTATGACTTATGATCTTTGACTCTTAAAGAACAAACCTCAAAGGATTGTAAAAGGCTGGATTAAATACATGATTTTTAAACTTTATTGGAATAATTCTAAAGGTTTGTCTTCATGTTTTCAATGTTTTGCTAGTTGTGATGTTTTTTACTATTAATACCTAATAATACCTCAAGGCACAGTATATTTATATATAGGACAAGGATAGTATATATAAATTCACATTTCATATGGTGGTCTTGGTGATAATTTTTTTGCCTACTTGTCAGATCTGACATGGTTACCATTTTTTTTGACCCCATTATGTGAATGATACAGACAGGAGATGAAGTGTTATCTTTGCCATTTTGTTAGTGTTTGCTTGTGCTTCTGTTATCTTCTACCTATAGGCATTTTGTTATTTTGCAAAAATCTTTTGAAGCTACCATTTGTGCATTTTGTTGGGATTGTTTTGGTTAAAAACTACATAGTCTGTCATACTATGTAAGTGAACATTCAGAGTCAGCTGTATGTCAGAATATGCTGAAATTTAAAAATGAGTGAGGGCGCAGTTCTCCCACTTTCTGCAGGGTGGAGCTGCCTGTATGGAAGCTTTCAGACTAGATAATAATGTCCATATGGAGAAGTGCTAGTTTGTCACTGCCAGTCCTTATTTTAAATATAAGCTAGTAAAATTTAATTTGTTTTAATTTTTAAATGAAGTATAAATGGAAGATCTAATATTTACTTTCCATACCACTATGGATCATTTTAAGGGCATCCTGTTTTGAGATAACTGGTGTACAGGGCTTTAAGAATTTATTAAGACCCGTAATGTAGAGAACACTGAAGTTTTAAAAAAATTATCTTGGAAATATGTCCACACACCTCTAAATTTCTTCTCCTTTTTCACTTTCTGTCTGGGGTTTACCTTAGTTTAAAAAAAAAGGCTAATAAAAAATGATTATGTATGATATAGATACTACAGCAAGCTATTAAAGTGTTTTTGTTTAATGTAAAACAATATGCTTTGGATTCTTTAAGCTCTTTTATTAGGCATAAAATATTTCTAATTAAAATTCAGTTGGGTGACCTCTTTATATACTTTGGATGTCAACCCTTTATCAGATCTGTCATTTATGAATATATTCTCCTATACTGTAGTGTGCCTTTCTGTTCTCTTGGTGGTGTCCTTTGCTGTACAGAAGCTCTTCAGCTTGATATAGTCCCACTTGTTCATTTTTGCTTTTGTTTCCCTTGCCTGGGGAGATTTGTTCATGAAGACTTGCTCATGTTTATGTCCAAGAGAATTTTACCTATGTTTTTTTCTAAGAGTTTTATGGTTTCATGACTTACATTCAGGTCTTTGATCAATTTTGAATTTACTTTTGTGTGTGGGGTTAGACAGTGATTCTGTTTCATTCTCTTACATGTAGCTGTATATATCAATTGACCATATATGTTTGGGCTAACATCTGGACTCTCTGTTCTGTTCCACTGGTCTGTGGGTCTGTTCTTGTGCCAGTACCAAATTAGTACCAAATTGTCTTGATTACTGTGGCTTTGTAGTAGAGCTTGAAGTTGGGAAGTGAGATGCCCCCTGCTTTATTCTTCCTTCTCAGGATTGCTTTGGCTTTTTGGGGTCTTTTGTGGTTCCATATGAATTTTGAAACTATTTGTTCCAGTTCATTGAAGAATATTGGTGGTATTTTGATAGGCATTGCATTGAATCTGTAGATTGCTTTAGGCAAGATGGCCATTTTGACAATATTAATTCTTCCTAGCTAAGAGCATGGAATGAGTTTCCATTTGTTAGTGTCCTCTTCAATTTCTCTTAAGAGTGTCTTGTAGTTTTCAGGGTATAGGTCTTTCCCTTCCTTGGTTAGGTTTATTCCTAGGTATTTTATTCTTTTTGATGCGATTGTGAATGGAATTGTTTTCCTGATTTCTCTTTCTGTTAATGTTAGTGTATAGGACAGCAACAGATTTCTGTGTATTAATTTTGTATCCTGCAACTTTGCTGAATTCAGATATTAGTTCTAGTAGTTTTGGAATGCATCTGTGTTCATCAGGGATATTAGTCTGTTGTTTTCATTTTTTGTGGTGTCTTTGCCTGATTATAGTATTAGAGTGATGCTTCATAGAATGAGTTTGGAAGCATTCCCTCCTCTTCTATTTTTTGGAAAACTTTAAGGAGAATGGGTATTATGTCTTCTCTGAATGTCTGATAAAATTCAGCGGTGAATCCATCTGACTGCGGGATTTTGTTCTTGGGTAGTTTTTTGATTACCGATTCAATTTTGTTGCTGGTAATTGGTCTGTTTAGATTTTTCTGTTCCTTCCTTGGTCAGTCTTGGAAGGTTGGATTTTTCTAGGAAGTTGTCCATTTCTTGTAGGTTTTCCAGCTTGTTAGCATATAGATTTTCATAGTATTCTCTAATAATTCTTTGTATTTCTGTGGGGTCCATTGCGATTTTTCTGTTCTCATTTCTGATTCTGTTGATGTGTGTAGATTCTCTTTTTCTCTTAATAAGTCTGGCTAGGGGCTTATCTATTTTATTTTCTCAAAGAACCAGCTCTTGGTTTCATTGATTTTTTTCTATTGTTTTATTCTTCTCAATTTTATTTATTTCTTCTCTGATCTTTATTATGTCCCTCCTTCTGCTGACTTTGTTCTTCTTTTTCCAATTTTAATAATTGTGACTTTAGAGTATTCACTTGGAATTGTTCTTCCTTCTTTAAATAGGCCTGGATTGCTATATACTTTCCTCTTAGAAAAGCCTTCACTATGTCTCACAGAAGTTGGGGCTTTATGCTGTTGTTGTCATTTGTCTCCATATATTGATTGATCTCTATTTTTATTTGGTCATTGATCCATTGATTATTTAGGAGCATGCTGTTAAGCCTCCATGTGTTTGTGAGCCTTTTTGTTTTCTTTGTACAATTTATTTCTAGTTTTATACCTTTGTGGTCTGAGAAGTTGGTTGGTAGAATTTCAGTCTTTTTGAATTTACTGAAGCTCTTTTTGTGGCCTAATATGTGGTCTATTTTGGAAAATGTTCCACGTGCACTTGAGAAGAATGTGTATCCTGCTGCTTTTGGGTGTAGAGTTCTGTAGATGTTTGTTCGGTCCATCTGTTCTAATGTGTTGTTCAGTGCCTCTGTGTCCTTACTTATCTTCTGTCTGGTTGATCTGTCCTTCAGAGTGAGTGGAGTATTGAAGTCTCCTAGAATGAATGCATTGCATTCTATTTCCCCTTTTAATTCTGTTAGTATTTGTTTCACATAGGTAGGTGCTCCTGTGTTGGAAGCATAGATATTTATAATGGTTATATCTTCTTGTTGGATTGACCCCTTTATCATTATGTAATGTCCTTTATCTCTTCTGACTTTCTTTGTTTTGAAGTCTATTTTGTCTGATACTAGTACTGCAATACCTGCTTTTTCCTCCCTGTTGTTTGCATGAAATATCCTTTTCCATCCCTTGACTTTTAGTCTGTGTATGTCTTTGGGTTTGAGGTGAGTCTCTTGTAAGCAGCATATAGATGGGTCTTGCTTTTTTATCCATTCTAGTACTCTGTGTCTTCTGATTGGTGCATTCAGTCCATTCATGTTTAGGGAGATTATTGAAAGATACGTACTTACTACCTTTGCAGGCTTTAGATTCGTGCTTAGCAAAGGTTCAAGGTAGCTTCTTTACTATATTTCCAACTTAACTTGCTTATTAAGCTATTATAAACACAGTCTGATGATTCTTTATTTCTCTCCCTTCTTATTCCCCCTCCTCCATTCTTTATATGTTAGGTGTTTTATTCTGTACTCTTTTGTGTTTCCTTTGAGTGCTTTTGTAAAGAGTTGATTTTATTTTTTGCCTTTAGTTAGTATTTGGTTGGTCTGCTTTCTTTAGTGTGATTTTATTTTCTCTAGTGACATCTATTCAGCCTTAGGAGTGCTTCCATCTAGAGCAATCCCTTTAAAATATAGAGGTGGTTTGTGGGAGGCAAAACTTTTGCTTGTCTGGGATTTGTTTAATCCCTCCTTCATATTTAAGCGATAATCGTGCTGGATACAGTATTCTTGGTTCAAGGCCCTTCTGTTTCATTGCATTACATATATCATGCCATTCTCTTCCTGCATGTAAGGTTTCTGCTGAGAAGTCTGATGATAGCCTGGTGGGTTTTCCTTTATATGTGATCTTTTTTCTCTCCCTGGCTGCTTTTACTACTCTGTCCTTGATCTTTGCCATTTTAATTCTTACATGTCTTGGTGTTGTCTTTGTTGGGTCCCTGGTGTTTGGAAATCTGTGCACTTCCACGACCTGAGAGACATTTCCTTCCCCAGATTGGGGAAGTTTTCAGCAATTATTTCCTCAAAGAGATTTTCTATTCCTTTTTCTCTCTCCTTCTGGCAACACTGTTCCTCTTGCAAAGTCCTCCACTAGAGGGCGTGCACTGCCCAGCCCTGCGAAGCTGCATCATCTTAATATTCTTAAGGCGAATATTGTTCCATCTGGATTGGTTGCAAAGTTGTGCTATTATTCTTTAATTCCTAGAGACCCTTTTTTCTCTCTGTGTCCCAGCTTCTTTGTATTCCTGTTCTCTAATTTCTGTTCCATTGATCGCTTCCTCTACCTCTTCTAATCTGCTTTTAAATCCCTCCATTGTATGTTTCATTTCAGATACTGTGTTTTTCAAAGTTTGTCTCTTTCTTGAAGTTGTCCCTGAGATCTTGACTGTTTTTCTGTAGCTCTGTGAGCATGTTTATTTTTGTTTTGAAATCTTTATCAAGAATATTGGTGATTTCAGTTTTACTGAGCCCTCTTTGTGGTGTTTGAGAGATTTGGTCTGAAGAAGTTTCTTTTGCTGCTTCATATTGCTAATGAATAATATGGAATAATAACTTTGTGCAGGCAGCCCCTTCTAGTGCCCAGAAGCTCCACTCACTGGAGCTGCCCAACACCTGGAGCAATGGTGGGGGTCGCAGGTGAGCGGCACCGATACCTGCTGGGAGGAAGGAGCTCTTTCCTGCTTCCTGTCTACAGTGCCTGCTTCCTGCCAGGGCCAGTTGGCTGAGCATGCAGGGAGGAGCTTCTGCATTACACCCCTGTAGCTACAGTAGGCAGGGCTGCTGTACAGCTGGCCTGGTGTGATGGCAGGGGCAGCAGGTTAGTGAGCAGGTGCCAGTCAGGAGGAAGCAGCGGCAGGCTCTGTATTGCTGTTGGGGGCCTTGAGGCTGCATTGCCAGCCGGGGGATGAAGTGCCTGAAGCTCCTGAAAGTTCCCAACCTGCTGGGCTGAGTGTGCTAGGACGATTTTGTCCACCTGCCCGTTCTCCTGAACAGCAAGCTCTGTGTAATCCTTGCCCCTTTAGCAGCCCTCCCACTGTTGGGAAGTCTTTCAAAGCACCCGCGTTTCTTTTGTGCCAGAGTGGCCAGTTGTGGGTACCTGTTCTCCACAAGCGGCTGGAATCTCACTCTCAGTATTCTGCCTGTCTTTGCTTTCCAACCCCTCTAATCTCCAGAGCACTATGTGATGTGGGTTCATGCTCCCAGAGTAGATCTCCAGGGGTGGGTATTTAGCAATCCTGGGCCTCTACTTCTGCCCCACTCCATTCTCTCCCTCCTGCCAGTGAGCTGGGGTAGGGGGAGTGCTTGGGTCCCGCCAGATCTAGGCTTTGCTACTTTACCCTTTTCTGTGAAGTCTTCTCTTTTCTCCAGATGTAAATCATCTGTTGCAGTGTTCTTTCTGGTCAGTTTCAGGATTAGTTGTATTTGCTATATTTTCGTGTTCTATGTGGTTTTGGGAGAAGACTTCTGTCTCATTTCTCATGCTGCCATCTTTTTCCCCTCCCAGGTCTTTGATTCAAGTTTATTTTATGTATGTAGTTAGACAATAATTCTTTCATTCTCTTACATGTAGCTGTCCAGTTTTGCCAACACCATTTGTTGATGAGGCTGTCATTTTCCCATTGTATATCCATGGCTCCTTTATTGTATACTAATTGGCTATATACGTGTGGGTTTACATCTGGGCTCTCTATTCTGTTCCATCGATCTGTGGGTCTGTTCTTGTGCCAGTATCAAATTGTTTGATTACTGTGGCTTTGTAGTAGAGTTTGACGTTAGGGAGCATAATCCCCCTAGCTTTATTCTTCCTTCTCAGGATTGCTTTGGCTATTTGGGGTATTTTGTGGTTCCATATGAATTTTAGAACTATTTATTCTAGTTTATTGAAGAATGCTGTTGGTATTTTGATAGGGATTGCATTGAATCTTAAAATGTCTCTTTAAGGTGATTTGTAAATATTTCTTTTACTTGTTTGAATCAGGCATGTATTTTTAATGTTCTCATGCCTCACAAATTGTTTCTTCAGTTCTCGCACCTTGTTACTTTAAACTAGTTTTCAATTAATAGTTACATAAGCTCTTTTTTTCTAACTAGTTAACCCTACAGTTGTACTTTTTTTTCCTACTGCAGATGAAGAAGGGGAAAATAGTGGCCATGATGTAACTGCTACCAAATTAGAACCCTTTTTGACAAATTCATCTGAAAGTGAGAAGTTTGCTTCTGAGTCAAGTAGTAGAAGCCTAACAGAAGAACAATGTCAAAGAATTGAAAGAAATAAACAACTGGCTTTGGAAAGACGTCTGGCAAAGCTACTGAGTAATAGTCAGTCCCTACAAAATGGTAAGTTTTATTCTGGGTTTTAAGTGCTGCCATTAATTTATCAAGGGCATGTTAGAAAATTGAACCCTTCAAATAAAATACTCTAGGAATAGAAAAATACAGTATATTAAGTTTATGTCTATTTGAGAGAGTGTGTTAGCTATTTGGAATCCTCAAAGAAATTTAAATGAGCCCAAACGGTTTTCTGGAAAGCTGAGTACCTCCTAAAAAGTGACTTTAATTAGTCTTTCAAAATCATACTCTCCTGGCTCCTTAGAACATGATACAAAATTTTATCTTTAGGATCATAATTATGACCATCAATTATGGTACTTCCCTGAACACCTAAATGTCTTCTGCACCCATTGAGGATTTTAGAGCCATTTGCTATGACATCAATAGGTCCTAAAATGCTTTTAGTCACATACATCACTTCTGTTGTGCTTTTCTGTTGCATTCCCTTCTCTTTTAAAACTGCATTAAAATTTCCTGTTTTTAAAACGAAGTGGGTTTGAAAACAGACCAACTTTGTTAAAGCTATATTTAAAAATAATTGCAAATTGGTTTTGAATGAAGCAGGATTGCAAGACTTGCTCAGTTTCCTGTCTAGTTATTCCTTTTGAAATAGGAAAATAATAACTATTTAAAGAGAAGATACCATGTTATAAAACAATTTTTACCCAATAATAAAAAATTAATAAAAATAGAATTAAAAATAAAATTTTCAAATGAAAATCATTTAGTATGATTGTTATCTTGATTTGTTGCCAGTTAAAATGAATTTAAATTTTAATTTTGCAAATGGATGTTTTATTACTACCATGTGAAAAATTACAGATACTACTGTTGATAGCACTGTCTTCCTTACTGTCATTACCAAAGTATACTTGGCAGTAAGCATCTTACTGCTGATCTTCTTTAATATACAACTTTAAAATTGCCCAAATGGAAATAAGGATCTTAAGTTTACTATAGATCACTTTGACATACAGCTGTTAAGAGCATTTGATTTTTAAAAACTTCTGCCTAATAGTTGTGATTTTTGAATGAGAACAAATGGATTTGGCTGATTTTTAGTGCCTTTCAAGGTTTTGCATTTTTGTATCAGCTTTATACAGTATGTAAAAATGGCTTTATTTGGAAGAAAGTGATAAAGTTAATGCTAACTAAAAGCAATCATGGATTTTGTTTCTAAGCTTGTGAAAAGATTGGTGTATCAGGTAAGGCTGGATCGCATACTTAATCCTAACGATTTCTCTTTCAGACTTGTTAGAGGACACCCCCAGGGCACAGACGGTTGAAGAGGTTAATCCAGGTGAGGACGAAGAGGAGTCCTCGGACGGACTTAACATGGACCTAGACAGTCCACTGAATGATGCTGCTGACCATACTATAAATGAAGAAGAGGCGTTAAAATTAGAGAAAACACAACTGGACCAATCCTTTAAAGATGCCCAGTAGTAACTTTATGCTTCATCTAGAAATGTCACTGAGGTTGGATAGGCCTCAACTAAGAGAAAAATCTATATTTGCTATCCAAGTTTGAGATGACTATATATTTAACTTTACAGACTCCTGTCTAAAATCTCATATTTGTAGTTGTTTCTTTAGTGTTTATAGATAATGACCACAAAAATGATTAGTAGTTAATAAGCAGTTTCTGCTTCTAGTGTGCTATTAAATGTCTTTTTCACTAAATTGCGTGGTGGTTTAAGATGTAAATATTGAATAAATATTAAAGTCCACTTTTAAAAAGAAATAAAAATCTTACTGTCTCTAGAGGCTATATAAAAGTTTCTCATTGCTATTTCTGCAATTTACACTTCTAATAAAATATCTTAAGACTTTTTTTATATGTGTGTACATGTACTTTGAGAAGTCACTGACACGAAAGGCCTGCTTTGGTGCTAGGGAGGTTCTAATGCTCTTTTGTACCTCGCTGACCAGTTGGAGAGAAACCTGCTGAGTACTGTGGGGAACACAGCACCTAGGGAGCATTCATAGGAGACCTTTGAGTTGGAAGAGATTCCAAGGATTGGGAAGAACATGTATGATAATGATATAGAAATGAAAATCCAGGAAGTAAGATTTGGGAATGGTGAGTATGAGTCTAGAAGTGTTAGGGCCAGATGGTGAGAAGACCTGATTGGAGTTTTTCCTGTCTGAGTTTATCAACTTGGTGGAGGGATAATTACAGCTAAGAAAGTACCACCTTGATAACCAAGTTTAAAAAAGGTCTATCTAGTTCTTGGCGGGAGATTCCCATGTGGGAGAGGGAAAGACAAATCTAGTTTTACAAACTGATGGGAAGTTTGCTTTCTGTGAGGACTGGTAGGGTGGTGGTGCTAAAGTGGCTTCTAGCCATGAAGCTGGGACAGGCAGGCATCTTGTTCTCTTCAGGCTTTCAGAGTTCAGGTAGGGATGGAGAGTGTCAACAGGGTTGGTTGAAAGGCCAGGAAGGTGAGCACAAGAACATATGGGTGGGAGCGTCATGGGGGCTCTGTAGGCTTGCGGGGACTGGCATAGTGAAGGGCCATGAGGTGTTAAGCCTGAGGATTGTGGCTTATTGCTGCCAGTACAGATCAGCTAGAAAATGGAGCCCAGTCTCTTAAAATGCTGTCAGTGCCTAAAGAAACTGCTTCCTCTGAATGGCCTATTCTGGCTTTTACCCACCTTTACAAATTGAATTTTGGAGGATATGACCAAGAGAAGTTATTTTTTTAGTGGTAGGATTTGCTGGCAAAATAACAAGTCTCCAACAAGAGCAAAGCCCATGCAACTCACCATGTGAGGAGTGCTCAGCAAAAAGTGGAGAGGGATGCTGGGGAGAAGAGACCTTACCTGTGTGCCCCAGCCCACTCCCTGTACCCAGTCCCCATCTGCTGCTGGGGACAGCAGGAGAGGCTTAAGTCAAATATGAAATAGGGTTTTTAGAATGAATAGGTGGACAGGCCTAAGTCATCTGAAAGTGACTGAAAAGTTAATATGACAGGTGTCAGAGGGGGTCCTGTGACACAAATGGCCCAGTGTAGCAATTATTAGAAAAATTAACTTTGAAACTCCTGTTTGAGACAAGCTAACAAAAATTAATTGTGGGTTTATTAAAAAGACTGGCAACCTGACTTGACCAGCAGTCATCACTGTTCATTTCTGAAAAATCAACTTCCATAGTGACCTAATTGCATGTATTTAATGCAACTTTAATTAATAACGAGTAAATATTTCACATGTGAAATACCTACCCAGTCCCAATTATCTAGAACTTTGGGTGACACCGATAATTAGATGTTAATGTTGAAAAGAAGGTAAAACATTCACATAAGATAAAAGCCCTTTTAATGAAGTAAAAAGTGTACTTCACACTCCATAACTGTTTGAGACATCTAGGAGAGCCAGGTCCCTTATTTCCTCTAGAAGAGTATAAAGGCTTCTTCCCTTTGTTTGGCAGTATTTTTGGTCGTCTTCCTGAATGACGTTTACTTTGACTTCTTGGGCAAGCTGAGCCTCCTCCACAGATCTCGTCACTTCTTTCACTAAGTCATTCTTTAGCAAGAGGGAACTCTGACGAAAAAGGTCTGTATCTGGCGTCATGTATGGTTTGTTTCTTATTATCTCAAGCCTGATTGTATCAGAGTGACAACGTGAGGCCTGTACAGATATTCTCACCTGTCAGGAGAAAATGCGTATTACTAAATCACTTCCTTTGTTCTTTACATTGGTAGCAGTACTTAATGTAAATACAGACTTACTGTTACGTGATCAAACAAATGGAATGTAACAGATTCCCCTCCTGTTGTGGTAGAGGTGATTTTGTTTTGAAATCGTTGAAGGGATCCTGATTTCCATTCAGAACAGCTATCTGGGCCACATGAGATCACCAGACCATCTTTATTTTTTAGATAAGCAGCACCTTTAATCCCAAACCTGCCAGAATAAAAATCCAGAGATCTTGTGTTCTTAGTGTGCAGATCTTATATATTTATCTAGAATGCTAGTTTTTCTTACAAATTAAAAACTTCTGATTTACCTCCACTGAGTAAATACTTCACTGAGCAGATAAACAAAATATTTTGTTAAATAAGTAAAATCCTATCTGAAGACTGAAACAGATGTACTACATTCCAGCCATATTTTATACTTAGTTATATATTACATTATGTATATATAGTAACTACAAAAAGTTACTAAAATAAATCATAAATGAGGTAATACACTGTGTTCTACACTTTCAGCTTAGGATTTCCAAGCTATTATGTTAGATGTAACATACCTTGGTATAAATACGAGCACACCATTTGTCCTAATGGAATAAATAACCCCATCAGATATGCAACGCTCCTCAGTTTCTGGGTCTTTGTCTTTAAAGTACATGCACTGGAAGAGCTCAGTAGACTGCTTCTGGGAATTCTGTGCTGCCTGCAAGAAGCACAACCCCAGCATTATGACAGACTTCCCTGATGTTTCCAGGAGAAATGTGGGATTCATTCCCACAGAAAGAACATCTTTAAAAGGGTAGATTCTAGGAAACTATTAATATGAATATTTCCTATCATGAATTAAATCAATTTTTGTGGGAACCTAATCATCCAGTATCATTCCCTCAAAAATGTCTTAGAAAATCAATTTTTAAAGAAAGTCTGTGACTTAGAACCTATTTATAATAGTTCATTTATGTATGGGAAAAGTATCATATCTATGTCTTACTTTTACTTTCAAGTCCGTCCTACCAAAATGTTGGTGCAAGTATAAATACTAGTATTCTGGCTGGCAATTTAATAGTATGTATCAAGGTTTTATTTGTGCACATGTTTTGACTCAGGAATTCATTATTACCTGGAATTTAGGCAATAATCTGAGAAGTCTGTAAAAGTGTATACACAAGGATAGTTGTAAACTGGACTGCCTAGAACAGTGCTGCCCAACCACTTTTTGCAATGACAGAAATGTTCTATATCTACACTGCCCCATAGGTAGTAGCTACTAGTCACACCTCTATTGAGCATGTGAAATGGTGGCTAGTGTAACTGAGAAATTAAGTTTTACTTAAAAATGTTTTTAAATTTACACAGCCAACATGGCAAGTGGCTATAATGCATAGAACAGAACCAGAACATTGGATACAGAAAATTATATTGAACATTTATGTAGTTTCCAATTTTCTGTATCACCATAGTTCTGTGCTGTGCAATATTGTAGACACTAGCAACAACATGAAATAGAATACAAAGCAGCTTCTAAATGATGTAACTATATTGACATGGTTTGCTACCAACAGATATATTAAGTGAAAAATACAGATTTGACACAGGTATGGTATGTTATTTTTATAAATAAAAAACATTGTCTAGAATTGTTGATGGTTATTTTTGGGTGGTAAAAAAGATGATCTTTTACATTTCTACATTTTGAGGAAAATATCTAACCTAATGTTAAATCTTCCAAATCGACACTAAACTACTTCAGAAGATTTATAAATGGTTTGAGAGCTACCCAACAAACTTTGTAATTTTTCATGTTATTTCACTGGTTACAAAATTTTATAATTTAATATGCTAGAATATATGGTATTTCATTCCACTACCCAGTAAAACTGATATTCTCTTAGTAAAAGAGGTGATGGGGAAGAGAATTAAAAATCCCATCTTACTCGGTTTCTGTTGTTGATGTGTCTGCATAATTCCTCAAGGTCTTTGTTGCTGAGCAAACCTTCCTTAATTTCCATTTTCTTATCTTTTGAAATAGCTGCCATTAGCAACCGGTGTACTATAATATCTGAATATCTTCTTATTGGAGAAGTAAAGTGAGTATATTTATCTAATGCAAGACCTTCAAAAAGAAATCAAAAGGTTGAAGTAAAAAAATACACCTTTTAAACAACTTCCTCAAGGCTAGGGCCACACAAAGGAAAATTTTATCATTCACCGTAATGATGGAATTCTTCCTCTGTGAACGATCCAGTGGAGAAATACAGTGCATTAGACATGGCCTGCGTAGCCATAGATCTAAGCAACCTGTTCACAATGGGATCGTTGGGGTCATTCGCATTATCCAGAGAATCAGCCAGAGTTTTATTGGACCTGAAAAACAATGGAAAAACTTGTACTTAGTCCTCAGCAATAATTTACAAGTCAATACTGAGGGAATCCTTCACTCATCAGGCTGAATACTTTCATCTGCCAATAAAATTTATTTTGGACACATTTCAGAAGCAAGTCTCTTCAATTGCAGAAATCTAGTATAAACAAAGAAAGTGTCAGAATTTACATTTCCTAAGTAGTAACGTGCTGTTACCTACAAGGTTAAGTTAATGCTTGGCACACAGCAGGTAGCCAAATATTTGTTGAATTTCTAACATCCTATATACCTTAAACATCCTGTATAGGTCAAATAACGGACTTTTTCTTTTTTTAAAATATTTATTGAGCCAGAGGAGATTAAAAAACTGAACTAAACTGAGATGTACAAGTAAAAGAAACAATTATTTTTCTTAAAGAGAAAGAAGAGCCCTTCTATTTACTCTGCAATAATTATAAAGAACCCAGAAAATACAAAATTATATTAAAAATTAAATTTATAATACAGTATATTATTCAGATCTGTTTTGTAGAGAAGAGGGGGAGGAAAAAGATGGGAGAAATGAGGAGAAAGGGAAGATGGAGAAAAATGAAAAGAGGCGTGGTATGAGAGTGGGTACTGATGGGAGCCTTCAAGTTTGACAGACTTGAATCCCGGCTCTGCCCTGACCAGCCCTTAAATTATAGGCAAGTTACTTAACCTCTCCAGATTTAATTTATCCATCTGTAAAATAAGAATGATTTTTTTTGTCTGGAGGCTCCTACTACATGTGCCTGGCACACATTCAGACTCAGACACCAAACCAAGAAAAATACTATCCTCCTAAAGATGAAGGCAAAAATATCTATTTTGATAAATATATTTCAATTGAAATAAATATTTTCCTAGTTCAAGCAAAATACTGAAAAATTCCTTTTTATACATAGTTTTTAACAGGGTAAATCTTTTATACTGGCGGTGGGGAGTAAGAAGTCTCATTCTACATAGGGAAGGTGTATGTATTTGCCGTTGGTATGTCTTAGGATACTGACAGATATGCTACATTTTAAAAGTATTGAAATAAACAGGATTACTTCTTGGTATTTGCCTAAAGGGTAGATGAAGTTCAATCAAGGTTAACAGGTTCTTTACTTCTGTATTATAAACTGTAGATGGTCAAAATGATGCCTAAATAAACTTATTTTAATTTTAAGTCTACCTACATTATATATATTATATATTAAATGAGAGCCAGTAAGTTTTCTATTTTTGGTTAAAGATAGGGCGGTCACATTTTAAGAACTACTGTAAGATAAATAAATGCATACAGCACTTATTTTCCTGCCTTCCGTTAGTCTGTGCCCCAAAAAAGAGTTACCGTGTATCTATAAAGAAGCCTTTTGCTTTAGCACATTCTCGCAGTTCAGAAAAAAACTCCTGGTGTGGAGGAGGGTGTCGGCGCAGCAAAGCCTGATGGGGGAGGCTCTCCCAGATCTTCTTGGCCACCCAGTGGTTGGCCAGGATCATGCACTCGGCCACCGTCTCATGGACTTCCAGAGGCTGCTTGGGGATGAGGTCATGGATGTTCTTCTGCTCATCCAGCTGCACACGGACCTCTACTCCTTCCAGCTCCAGGGCGCCGCACCGGTCTCGTTTAGCGCGGACGTGGCGTGCTATGTCGGTCAACTTTCCAATTGCCCACACCAACTCCTCTAGCTTGGCTTGTCTGCTTTTCTCACCCAAGTCTCTGAATTCTGGAATATCATCAACGATGCTGAAGTTTCCATCCAGTAATTCCTGGGCTGCTTCATAGCACAGCTTGTATGCTGACTGAACAATGGTTCTGCCATACCACACTTTCTTGATTTCATAGGAGGTTTTATCCAATTCCCACATGACACTTACAGCATACCTACAAAACCAGTAACACCGACGTCATTATTCAGTTCTTCCATTTTTGAAGCAAGCAGAACTAGACCCTAAATGTAACCTGAAGGAAATGACATAGCTACAGGTTTTTGGTCCAACGTCTCAATCCAAATAATCTGCCACTAAATCAAAAATACTTAAAACAACAGCCAGGCGAGGTTCTGTTGAGCTCTGAGCCAATCTGAAATGAGTTCACATTTAATGTTATAGACGCTCCCTGACAGTCTCTGTTTTGACTAGAATAGTGAGTGTAGCATTGATAAAGTCAAGTCTACTGTGCTCACTAGTAAAGAAGAGCAAAGCTTTTCAAATCCCATAGATTCCACTCAACTATGACATCAGTCTTTATGATAGGTTAATTAGCAAAAAGTTCATTTAGTAAATAACTACTTTGCCCCCAAATCTATTTAGAAACATGTACAACAGTTACAACGCATAGAAAGGGCTAATTTTAATAATATGTAAAGAGCTCTTATAACTCAACTATTAATAGATCAAGAACTAAAAAAAAAATGGGAAAGGTACAAGAAATTGTTCACAGAAAAGGATATATAAATGACTGTTAAACATACAAAAATGCTTAACTCATAGTAGGAAAAATGCTAATTAAAGCCACTTTAAGATACCATTTTCATCTATCAAATTGGCAAAGATTGAAAAAATACAACATATTATGTTGGCAAGACTATCAGGAAACAAGCATTCTCGTACGCTGATGGCGGGAATGTAATTGATGTGACCTCTGTGGAGTGCAATTTGATTATCTAAACACAAACACATACACTCTTTGACACAAAAATTCCACTTCTAGATATGTATCTTCCAGATATACCATACTTCTAAAAATGTGATTTATGTTCCAAGTAATTCAGTACAGTTTTATTTGTAATAGCAAAAGACTAGAAATAATCCAAATTTCCATTGACAAGCAACTGTTATGAATATGGAATGAACTCTCATGGTTAAGCAAAAAAACAAGGTGCTTTACAGTATATATATATATATATATATATATA